GAAAGACAGAGAGAGACAGAGAGATAGAAAGTGAGAAATCATGCCCCAGGGGGGATGACCATGCTGCAATCCCTTCTCCTCCATTCTCCTCTTGGGATCTTGGGCACGCACGCACATGCGCTTGGCGTGAGTTTAAGCCACCGGGTCCAGGACTCAAACCGCAGTTAGCTACATGGGAGTTCAGCAAACATAGCCATTACGCTAACTGCTGGTCCCTAGGCAACAGCATTTTGTATTTATAATCCTGTGAAGGGTTGCCACTATGGAAGGGAATCTAAAAAAAAAATAAGACAAAGTCAAAAGAGAGCTACTTCTGAAATAGTGAAGGGATTGAGGCTTTCAACAGCCCCTTTTCCTGCTTTTCCTTCTCCATTCTTACTCAGTGGGAATACCAGAGAGGATCTGACTCCATGACACTTTGGTCAAATTCGAAGACCTGCATGGCTACCGACTAGATTGGTACAGTTTTTATTTATAAGCCTTGTAGGACCATACATGGATTCAAAAAACAAAAACAAAAACAGAAACAAACAAACAAAAAAAACAAAAAGACAAAAAAAAAAAAAAGCCTTTATTCTTCATTGTAAAAGTAGGCCATTAAAAGGCTTGAGTGACCTGCTTGTCACAGCTGGAGTAAGGCTCAAGAGACATCATCTCAAGGAAAAAGGAAAGTCTCAGCAGGAGAATGGAGGAGAAGGGATTACAGGGTGGCCATCTCTCTGGGGGAAGGGGTGACTTCTTGCTTTCTCTCTGTCTCTCTGGCAAGCATGTACCCTATAGCAAAAATCTCTCAAAAATCTCTCAATTTTATTGAGAGAAACAGTGCCCAGGTTTCTAAACCTAGAGGTGCCTCAGCCTGCCAGCCAGAAGGGTTTCTTTCTTTCTTTTTTTTTCTTTTTTTAATTTACATTTGTTATTATTAGTTTACATTTAATTACATTATTTGGATTATAAAGAGACTTTACCCAGCATGATATACATCTGAGTCCAACCCAGTTGAAAATATTATATATGTCCTCATCAACAGATATTAAACTATATCTGTGTCCCACAAATGTCTTACCTCTCTATACATGGATTTTTTTAAATGACATTTTTATTTGTTTGCAAAAGTATGCAAATTATCTCCAGATTGTTTTTTTTAATGTTCTTGAAGCTCGACTAGCATTAGGAATAGAACAATTTTGTTCCTTGCCTTTGACTTTATAGTCTACAAATGACCATTTTTCTGAACAATCATCCATCTTACTGTGACAAAGAGAAGGGCCATTTGGATTCTCACAAAGAGAGATTTCATCTTGCCATGTAGGTTGTGATTTTCCAAGAGAAAATCCCCTGGAATCTTAAATGGAAATGCCTGCCAGATGATATTCATATCCTTTACACTAAGGAATAAGATTTCCCTGTTGGGTCAGCATTTAAAGCACACTTCTGGTCAAATTGAGGCAAATGTGGTACCTGAAGGTCAGGTCACCTAGCTGGTTACTTCTACACTGATGATCTGCATAAACTGGAAGCCCCCTGACATCCTCAGAAGAGACTACCTTGTTCACCAGGAGCCGTCCATGACACACCAGATAACCACATTTGCAAGTGGGTTTTCTTGGAAATGAGTGTGGGGAATCAGTGATACCGCATTTACTTTATTTTCACAAGGTCATTTGAGGAAACTCAAATACCAGTTATATCACCATCAGGAGTGACAAGGAAAAATTAAATACTCTAATGTAATCCTGGGGCTACCAACAGTGATGTGAACGTTGGCAAAACTATGCATTCCTATAAATGCTACTCAGAGAGTTCAAAATGAGAAACACTGTGACACTTGAAACTAGGGTTTCCAGACTGTCAATTGCTTCCATGGTGCCTCCAGAAAGGGCTGCCAAACAGTCATAGGATTTCTCAAGTAGGGCTAATTTAATGTTTGGCCCAGAAATCATGCCTTTATGTTGAGAAATGGAAATCCAGGTTTTATTTTGACTATTTGGTTTCACTGAGAGCACTGCAACTGATGGGCTATTTCTTATCACTCCAGCAACTGAAAAAAGAATGACTTACTTCAGATTCTTGCTATTTTTAATGTGATATGTAAACAACAAAATTTTATTTCTGATAAGCAATTTCAAAATACTTTTCTTTTGTGTATGTGTTTGAAGATATTTGAACAGTTTGTCAAGACAAGAATAAAAGAAGAATACAAGGAAAAGAAAAGTAAACTGCTGCTAGCCAAAGAAGAATTTAAAAAACTTCTGGAGGAATCAAAACTGTCACCCAGGTATGGAGTGAGAAATATGCCAGGTGATTTCTAGGGCCAGGAACTTACCAATTATTATAAGAAGACTTTTAAAGTTTATTCATTTATTTATTCTGTGAGAGACATACACATAGAGTTAGAGAGAGACAGGCATCTCCAACTGGTTCTTAGTCTCAGCCAGCCCAGATCACAGGCACATGTTTGAGTGTCCATCATGCTCAGGGAGGTCCCAGGATGTGAATCCAGGACATTTCTCATGCAGGTCCGGTTGTATTACCACTATGCCACTCACTGTCCCCCATCAGAGGACTCTTAATCTTCAATTTTGTTAAATCATGTAACTCAACTTTCCATAGAAACCAAAAGTATTAACTTTAAAGACCTATTAGAGAGAGAAACCTGGCTCTTCTATTGTGTTACCAATTCCAAACTTCTAAACTTTCCCTTCATAATCAGCGCAACAAATAGGCTACTTGACCATTAAATGTACTACAATCATTTTATTCCCACCTTTTATGCTTTTCAAGATCTCAGCAGCTCTGACTCCATAGTCTAAATAACTAACCAAATAGGCAAGCACTACTGCTATGAGGTATAATTTCTGATCTATTAATTGAGGAGTAAAAATGCATAACAAGCCACAAACAGTAACAATAGCAAAATGCCTGCAACCAATTCTTTTGGTTCTAGATGTTTTAGCAGGTGACCTGAGTGTCAAGTGAAGATTTGACACATCAGAGCAAAGTCTGACACAAAATTTGACACACTGCCCAAAAATCCCAGGGGGAGAATAGAGGAGAAGGTATTTCAGCATGGCCATCGCCCCTGGTGAGGGGTGTAATTTCTTACTTTCCCTCTCATTGTCTTTCTCTGTGTCTCTCTCCAGCAAGCAAACATGCCCTGTGGAAAAAAACATTAAAAAAAGAAAAAAACAGGGATTAGAAAAATACATGAAAAACTTTTTTTAAAAAATTAGCTTTAGTTGATTTATAAAAACTAATAAACATGTAATATTTTTAACTATGAAATTGTAAAATTTTTATTTATTTATTTTATTCATTTTTTAGAGGTTTTTGCCACAGAATATGTGTGCTCCCTGGAGAGAGAGATAGACAAGACAGTGAAAGGGAAAGTGAGAAATCACCCCCCTAAGGGAGATAGCCACGCTGCAATTACTTCTCTTCCATTATCCTTCTGAGATCTTGGACATGTACACACATGCACCCAGTGTGTTTCAAGCCATTGTGTCTGAGACTTGAACTGCAGTTGGGTCGGATAACAATAGTGGTTTTCCCCAATAGCTTTTATAGGTATAAAAATTATTGATTTTAATGTATTTTTATTTTATATTGGAACTCGAAGCAGTATTTTTAATATAGGCATTAATTAATGTTTTCCGTGAAGACATACGCTTTAATCATTTGATCTGGGCGACCTAAGTTAACATTGGTTACTCAATCCTTATAAAACTTCAGCCATTCTAAGGACAGATCCTTTCTGTATGGGAAAAAATTAGTATGAATTATCCTCATCACAAAATGCTAGTTTAGACAATCAAATATGTGTCCAGTCATTTGTAAATCGTAATTTTCTATAGTTTAAGCCATTATGAAATGCTGAGTTCTAGACATAGCTTAGCCGTGTATGCCCATGAAGTGGCTGTGGAATGAGGCAGAGAAGCCTAAGATTAAGGAAATACGTTCTAGAAACAACTTCTGCCCTTTTCCCCCAACCCTTATCTCATAGTTGGACTCTGTTCCTTCTTAGCCCTAGAAATGGGGTAAGATATTAGACCTCCGTGTACTTCAGTGTCCTCACCTGAATGGAAGGGTGACCACATTGACTTCAGAAATAGACTTGGAGGATGACAGGAGGTGCTGCATAAAGGCAGGTCAGAGGTGCTCAGTAAATGATAGCTAGTGGCATTGCTATTATTGCTGTTATTATTAAAGACATTTAGCTAATGTTCTCTGTCTATCCATTGATAAGCCAATATTATTTCCCTTCTTGTGAATATATTATGAAGACAAGGAATTATTCACAATATTCAGAATATATTCAGCAGTTAGAAAAAGAGTAGTGAGAAAGAGGAGGAAAATGAGTGATAACAATCAGAAGAGTTAGAGAGCTGGCCCTGTAGGGCAGTGGTTAAACATTGAGTATTGGAAACTGGATACCATATAGATAACTGTATTTAAATTCTGGTCCTAGCATCTTGAAAAATACTCCAGGAATGTATGCATATATATCCCAAATCCTGACGGGAGGAAAAAGGCTCGCAGTGTGACCACAACTCTAGCAAATAAATAAAATAAAATAATTTAAGTGTCTGCTATTTTTGAAACTTGAACTTGTGATTGTTACTTTTATAATTATAATAAAACTTTATGATTTAAAAATAGCTAATATGCAACATGTTCAAGAACATTTTCAGATTTTCTTTCTACTGTTTCACAGACATCCTACTATAATAAAATATGCACAAACTACTACTAGGTAACCAGGTGAGTTTAAATGCTGCCCACTTTGAGCATCTCTAGAAGCAGTCTCTTGGATCTTCAGAGCACCCTGCAGTCATCCAAGCTGATCCTGATCATTCATCTCAAGTTCTCTCCTGAGAAGCCTATGGAAACACTTCTAGGCAGCTCAGACCTGTGCATCTCTCAGGAACTTGGCTATCAGAAGAGCCACTGACTTCTGAGTGAAGCAAGCCAGGTTATGAAGGAGAGACATTGTATGTCTCCACTTAATATATACCAAGTGTCCATACTCTATGACCGAAACTGAATGACTAAAGGATATAGAAACATAGTAAATGGTTATGAATACTGGAAGTGAGGGAAGAGAGTGAGTGAAGGAGCAGAGTTTGAGGAAGGACATTAAGTAGAGAAATAGAGAGGCAAAGTATTAATGGGACAAAGAAACGGGGTATTATCTGTTGAAGATAACATTATAGTATTATTAACTGGACTAGTGAGAAATGTACACATGTTGGAATATTCACATTGCAAGCTAAATAACATGATTGGATGTATAAAATAACTTGAAATAAAATTTTTTTTTAAGTTTAAAATAAAAAAAAAAGGAGCCCCTGAGGAATCCTCTGCATTGTAGGAGCCTGTTATCACATAGACAATCTGGTGCTCCTTCATGAATGCCACATGCCACAGTTCCCATCTCCTTTAGCTGCGGGCTAGCCTTGAGTTGCCCATCACCAGAGGGAAAGTGGAAAGGCTTTGTCAATGACTCATGGCTTTCTCAGGCTTACTTGACAGTCAACCAGTTTCAGCAGAAAAGCCAGGGCTGTTCCCTCAGCATGGCTCAAGGACCACAGAATTTTAATTCTCCCCCTTTTAGGGACTCTTCTTTTCAGAGATGCTCAGAATAAGTCCTGTCTAGAAGGTATCCCTGCCCAGGCCTTAACTGAAAATGCTTAGGCTTCTATCTAGACAGGAGAAGGAAGTAAGAAGTCCTACATGATCCTGATCATTTTCTTTTCACATGCAGGTCAGCAGTAGAAGTGGAAGGAAGCTTGTCAGCCATGTCTCACAATTGTTAAATCACTAAAGGAAGGAAGGAAAGAGGGAGGGGGGAAGAAAAGGAGAAAAGAAGAAAGGAAGGAAGGAGTATAGGAAGGAAGAGGAAAGCCAGAGAGAAGTGCTTTTCTTTCAGTGTATAAACAAGAACCCCGCAGACTACAAACGTGAAAATAGCAGCTTCATGAGGAACGACTGTGACTAATTGTTTAGCAACAATGAAGATGAGTCTACTAATTATTCGTCCTGTCTTCTAAAAGCCATGTCTGTATAATTGTGTGTTCATAAAAAAGCTATTAAGTTAAAATAATTTAATACAATAAGTAAATGTCTAAAAAAACTAAAGTAAAATTCTCTGTAAAGAGAAATGGAGAGAATAATAAGAATCTCCTAGAAAAAGAATAAGCTCATTTTTCATGCATTCTCGGGTGCCTCCTCTAGGTTGACTCCTGTGCCACAGGGAGGACCCCAGGCTGGGAAACAGGCCAGAAATATGTCTGTCACTGAGACGAGTGGACACGTCTGCACATGCCAGCTTCTCTCAGTTGCTCAGCTGCTGTCATTATCCCTGGCTTCAAGTTCAAGCCTGGGAGAACAGGAAGTCATGGGTGTCTGCCACTTACAAAGGTTGCATTTGTTACTGCAAAGGCTCAACCACTCTTTGCTTTTCGAACTGCCCCACACCCGTGAAAATGGCCTGACGAGCTAGTCTGGACTCATTCCAGTTTTCTTACAAGGAATTTTCTGGCTTGGCAATTATAGATCCACTATCAGTATTGGAGTGCTCATTACACACTGGCCATGGGCTAAATATTTAACAATTTCAATGGAGAACAAAGCAGATAATGGTGCATCTATTCAAGTGGGGAGAATCAAATCCAATTGCATAATGAGTGTTTAACTAGATCACAACTATGGCAAGGGCCCTGAAGGAGCAATTCACAGCACTCTGAGCTTCTATTGAATAGAGCCAATTTCCCAAAGAAAGCACTATGTGTAATGATGAGTCAGAACTAACAAGGTGAAGAAATAAGGGAAGGGTGTATCAGGCAGAGGGAACAGCATATGCAAAGACCTGTGGCAACTAAGAACATGGTAGGAGATGGAACCAGCAGTTGGCATAATGGTTATGTTGCTGGACTCCCATGTAGTCAACCGTGGTTCAAGTCCTGGACCTGGTGGCTTAAACTCACGTTGGGCACGTGTGCGTGTGTACATGCCCAAGATCCTGAGAGGAGAAGGGAGGAGAAGAAAAGATTGCAGCATGGCCATCCCCCCAGGGGGTAATTTCTTGCTTTCTGTCTCTCTGTCTTTCTCTGTCTTTCCAGTGAGCACATGCACCCTATAGCAAAAACATCTCAAAAAAAAAAAAAAAAAAAAAAAGAAGAAGAACATGATAGGAGTAAAGAACAGATGGAAAAAGACCCATTGTCCTAAGAAGTTATGGGAGGTGTGTGGTTAGATAAGGATAAAGAGGTAGGTGAGGATGAGCTCATTTGCAGAGACCTGTTAGTGTAGAGTTAAGGGGGATCTACAAGGTAAGTTGAGTCAGACCCTGTAGGACCTTAGTTGTGAGTGACACTCAGTAAAGGGAGCAGTGCCAAAGGCAGAGCCATTCACTTCTACCTATCTCTCACCACGTCCTTTGTCCCACAACCAGCAGTTCAGCCTAATGGGAGGGGCCTTCAGCCATCTCAAGAAATGGTGCTTTGTAACTTTTAGGGAAACCAGAACTCGGTCTCAGGGAAAGTGTCTTAGAAAGTTCTTTCTTTTTCAGGACTACATTTAAGGAGTTTGCTGAGAAATATGGCCGGGATCAGAGGTTTCGACTTGTTCAAAAAAGGAAGGACCAGGAGCATTTTTTCAATCAATTCATACTTATTCTGAAGAAACGGGACAAGGAAAATAGAATAAGACTACGGAAAATGAGATGAGTTTATGAAAAATGCAATAAGACACATGGTTCAGTGCTGAGCACACCAGAGCAAGGGAGATCACCTGGTGGGGACAGCACTCAAAATTCAAGCGTGTAGCCTCTGCACAATGGAGTCAGGGGTCTACGGGGCGCTGTGGGGTTTTCGTTCTCAGAGGATTACTGTTTCATATTGAAGCTCTCTCTTTTGTACAATGTTCAGAGTTTGATGCATTTCTAATTGCCATGATACGTCGATCCCTTAATTGTCTTAATTATGCAAATTACTTGTAATATACACAAATTATAAATCCACTGCAGGTTTGTAACTAAGCAGAAACAAGAACCATCTATAACAATCTCAAAGCATTTTCATCACTTAAGACAATTACCTAAAACTTTTCTGAAAACCTTTGTGAGTTACTTCATTTTTCCAAGATTTCCATGGTGTTAGGGAATTCCTTACTCAAGTGTCCCTAGGTCTCGGTCTCGTTTTTCTGAGTAGTAGCAATAGGGTATTCATCATTAATCATAGTGACAACTGTGAATAGCCTGCACATGGACCATGGATCACTTGCAGGTGTCTAGGGAGGATTACTCATTCTTTTAAGAGAGGCATCCAGGACTGGAGAGGGGAGCCACCCTGGTTGTCAGAGGTCCTTACTTACAAAAGAATTATTTTGTACAAAGTCATCACGTTAATATTTGAGTTATTTTTCTTGTATGCCCAGAGTTTGCATGAGATTTTTCTCATCATCTTTGTATTAAAAATTTTAAATTTTTTTAATTAATAAATATTTTAAACCAGTGTGCTTTCGTGGCTGAGACTTTCAACATAATCTTAAGCGATAAAATTGCTTCAACTAAAGATGCTCAAGTTCCAAAAACTCAGGGAAAAAGTATGATTACACACAAGGCCTGTGTAAGTATGGCTCAAACAAAATCTTACTTCTCAATAGACTTACTACTAATGGGTGATACAATGTTTGGTAAGCCTTTATTTAATGAATTGTATTACTTAAACTATTGAACATTCATTTATTCATTTCAAGATTTATGAAGTCTCTGCTCATATATAACATCTTTGTCCCTTAGGAAATAATGGCAAAACCTCCTGACCTATCTTCTCTTTAGTTAGTCTTTATAAGACGACTTCTGCCACATGTATTAGAAAGTGTTCAGGCAAGGTAGGATTCACTCTTCACCTGGTATGCACTAGTCTTAACACTTGTATTGTGACCATATCACCTTCAATGTCAGGTGATTGTGTGGGTTCCACATTGCTCAGGTTCAGGCCGTTTTGGGTGCAAGATGTTCTCCCACCTGAACTTGACCCAGGGGAGTTAAAAGTATCCAAGGCAGAGTTTCAGGAGCCAGATTCGGAGAAGCAGTGACAATTGTGGGGCAGTTGGGATTCAATAAGGAAAGAGAAACTGCCCTGTAATTTGAAAAGGTATATTTTTAATGGAATTAATTAGTAATGTAACAGGTAATTGGAGTCATGGGGTTAGTAAGTGCAGATAGCTGTGAAAAATGTAGGAATAACAGAAGAAATGAGTAACTACCATGTGTAGGTCTTGAAGAAAGTATCCAAGGAAAAGGCCTCCCCCATCAGGGTTGATATTCACATCTACTGGAGAAGGCGTAACTGTGGTTCAGGGAATGGGAAAGTCACTGTGGTGCTGTGCTGGTGGAACTTGCTAGAAATTCATCACCTGAGGACTGAGAAAAGCCATTTATGTGGTGATGTCTTAGGTACACTCTATCAAAAGCATGAAAGATGTTAATGTGAGGGAAAGTTGCTGGCCAGTGAGTGCTTTTGGCTGCAGAGTCCTCAGGAGCAGAACTGGAGAGGCAACCTGGGTTGCAGGAGCTGGGAGAGAGGAGCTTCTGGGAAACCCTGGAGTTTTGCATGAAGGCCATGCAGTTCCTTGCCATCAACTGTATGCATTTGAAGAGCCACTGCTGACTTTTATCTTACCCTAGTAGACTGACAGCCTGACTATGGAATAGCAAATGACTGCAACCTGAATTGCCAATCTGGAATTGTTACCAGATCCACCCAACATAAAATTGCATATGCAAGTTACACTTAATTTAAAGTAGAAATAATATAGGTAAGACTGAGCCCAAGCAGATCTGGAAAGTGCCAACTCATATCCCCTGATACCTGCTCTTCTTGCTAAGAGTCCTCTCTCTCCATGCCACCTCTGTATCTGTTGAGCTCCGTATTATCTGCTAACAAAAAAGGAAAAGGTGCAGCCCAGGATTGAACTAAAATCTATGCTTCTATTGGCTTCACCACAGCCTCCCTCAGGAGTGGCCCTGAAGGCAATAGTAAAGGGGCATCTATCAGTGAGAGCACCTGAAGACCATAGAAAATGACACTTCTGTAAACTGTCATCCTTTCTGTGAAAGGAAGATTCTGATTTATGGGCTGGGATTAATGATGTGGCTCACTGGTCAGGGATTTGAAAGTACCGCATTGGAAGATCTATAATGAAAAAATCTAAGGTGGAATTGGAAAGAGAATGGAATGAGAAAATATTTATGTCCTATGCACTTAAAGTAGTCCATTTCACAAAATGCCCCAAATATAGGGTGAATGTGATGAATGGTCTATGACATTGGCCAGCATCTTTCCCTCACTCCCTTGAGTCTTGCTCAGAGGACCAACATCAAAGTGACTGTGATGTGAGACATGCAGAGTATGCATGAGTTTAATAACACTGCTCATCAAGACTGGTGTAGCTACTGCCACTATATAGCATCTTTTCCAGGTCAATCGCGTGGAATTCTCTCACTAATAAGATAGCAATTTCTCTTCACAAAAATACCTCTCTCAGAGGCAGATTTTCCACCCTGCTTGAAGGGCCCCATGATCACAATCCATATTGTTAAAGAATGACATATTCATCACCATAGCTTCACATATAATATATTCTTTGACCATGAGCTTCATTTTAAAGGACAGGGTTGCAAAGATGAGTTCATGGCCACTGAAGTCACTTGTATTCCCCATATACTTTCTCCATCACCCAGAAACAGTCTGTTTGAGGAAGTCTGGAAGGGACTTTTGAGTGCCTAGACACATAGTCATCAAGTCAGCAAGCATCCTGTGAGGTTAACAAGTATCCTATAGATATGGTACATGCATTAGACCAGTAGCCTACACATGGAGGTGTCTCCTCTGGAGTCATGGTGCATAACTCCAGTCACTAAAAAGTGAAATAAGAGTGGTCCTTCTCATTATACTCAATAACACAGTTTTACTTCCATCCCCACAACCCTGGGTATAGTGAGTTTGAAGACCCTGTTGGCCAAGGACAGAATCCAACCAATGTCTTCATTCTGTTAAACTGTAGGCTGTGATTGCTTCCTGGATATTTAGGGCACTGAGGCAATAGGTGGAGAAGGTGATCACTTTGCTGGCTGGGACAAGTTATTGCAATTATTCTGCCTTAATAAGGACAACAAGGATTGTCCCGAACATCAAATATTTGCTAGGTATCTTTTGTATCACTCTTGTACGTATCACTTGTCATCAGGAAGCTCATCAACTCCAAGTCAGAACTAGCAAAGAGTTAGGATCCATGGGGAAGAAAGTTTGGATCCACATGCCATGTAAACAGCCACTTTGCAGTGTTGAAGGAGAGTGAAAGGAGATTGCAATGGTTATGAATTATTGCCTTAGCTCCTGTTCCAGAAATACAGCCTAAGCAGCTGCATTTCTGCATTACTTATTTCTCCCCCTCCATTTTATCCTATTATCTCATGTGTCAGTGCTATTGCTTTGGGTTTCTGATGGGTGATTGTCTACATCAGCCTCACCTTACAGTGACTTGGCAACTACTTGGATTTCCTCCTGTGTTGAGGCCTCACATTTGTTTTCACAACTAACAGTGAGCACTCTGAGAGACCATAAGGGGTGGGTTGCATCTGTTCGTGTTGTCCTTCAAGATCCTGTCCCAGCATTTTCTTTCCTGCTCTGTGACCCAGGAGTCGTCCTGTAGAGAAATCCCTTTCCTATAGGACTCTCTTTTCTTCTGGTTTTCAGCTGGTTCTGTCAATGGATGGGAGCACAGCAGGGATGGAAGGGAGGGGGGAGAGAGTTTGAAATATTTGTTCCTCTATAGATCGTCCTGTTCAGTCTGGTTGGCCGCACTTAGCCCAGGGCTGTATCTCTGACCACGTAGCCTTTGGCACAGTTGTAGCTTGCCTGGACCTTGGTAAAGGCTGTGTTTTCTGCTTCTTCTGTCCCAGGGCTAGAGGTGGTTTCCTGCAATGGCTCAACCCAGGTACTTTGCCATCCATGCTGTGCTTTCCCTTAGCTCTTCTCCAGTGTTCATAATCACCCCTTGGTTAAACGCTTCTCAATCACTCCTACTGAGTGGGCCATCTGTTTGCTGTCAGCACTGTGACCAAGCTAATCACCAGCATCATCATTACTATCATCACACTCTAAAATAATAGTTATCAAAATGTTCATGACTGCACACAATTATACCCAAAATTATATTAACAGTAAGTAGGGGATCATACAATACAATTCTTTTCTTTTTTTTAAAATTAATTATCTAAGTTTTATTCACCGTTATTATTTTTTAATTTGACCAGAGAGAGAAAGAGAAAGGGAAAGCAAGCTGCTAGGTCTAGGATTCGAACTATGGACTGCTATGTGGGAGTCCAGCATCTTAAGCACTACACCATTTGCTGTCCCCCATACATTATAATTCTAACCATTATGCTGAATATAATGTGAAAACATCCATACTTTCAGTACTCAGAAATATAAAGGTGTCTGTTGTCTTATAGTAAAACTTTCAGGCAGTTTTGCTTTTCATCCAAATATTTGAGAACTTACATGCTAGTTTATATAATCACAATTGTGAATCTAAAACACCATTATTTAAAGTTGTAGATATGTGATAAATAGATAGTGGTCTCTTTGTTTATATCTTCCTCTATATTTATATTTATCTGTGGATTAATTGACATAGTATTAAGATGAAAGATGAACTCAGGTATAATCAGGTGAGCCTTCAAGGAGAAAAATGAGCTCTAAAAAAACTAATGTGTAGGTGTATATATGTGGACTATATTTAAATAACTTTCTACTTTAAGGACTGAGAGGTCATTGACATTTTCTTTTTAGCCTTATGTATATATTTAAGGTGTTATAGAAAAAATCAATAGTCTAAGATATTTTTAGTTACAATCTTTAAAATGTTTTGCATGTTTCACTTCCATTTTATGTATTCATTATGTTTATTATTATTTACTTTGCTTCGGGACATGTGCACTTACCAGAGAGAGATTGAGGGAGGAAAAGTGAGAAATAATCCTTCAGTGGGGATGGCCATGCTGCAATCCCTTCTCCTTTATTCTCCTCTCAGGATTTTGGACACACACACACACACACACACCAAGCGCATGTGCTTGGTGTGTGTGTGTGTGTGTGTGTGTTTCAAGCCACTGGGTCCAGGACTCAAATCACTCAGTCAGCCATCTGGGATCCAGCCGCCTTAACTTCTGAGTCACCTACTGGACTTATTTTATTTTTAATTTTATTTCTTTAATGAAAGTGAGCGAGAGAGAGAGGAAAAGACATAAGCACCCTCAGCAAGGTCTCATACCACAGTCCTCCCTCTTTTTCCTGAGCCTTTGCAGCCAGCCAGGAACATTGGCACACACATTTACAGAATAAATGGGGCATCAATCCTGCGATCTCACGTATGGAGCCATCGTCACTTCAGCACTGTGTTACTGCTACAACATCGG